CAACATCTTTGTTGGTATGTGGTGCTGAGGATCGAACCCGGGCCGCACGCATGCCAGGCGAACGCGCTACCGCTTGAGCCACATCCCCAGCCCTCTATATTATCTTTTCTAGAAATGAGCGTATACATTTCAACTGAAACACACTTCCTTTCTAAACAGAAAGATTACTGTGGAGTTCTACTGAATGGCTCTTTGCTTGATGTGGCAAGAGAACAGGTTGGAGTGGGAATCAGAGGTCAGAGCAAGCACAAACAGACTTCTCCCAGCCTCTTGCTACCCAGAACTTGCGAGAACAATGGCAAGTTCTCTTAAGGGGGACAAACTCTTTCTGGAAAGTATCAGACAGTAAGATTCTGGGCTTTGCAAGCCATAGGGTCTCAAACCGTCATTCTACCACAAAAGCAGCTATGGATAATATGTAAAACAAACTGGTATAGTAGTGTTCCAATAAAATTTTTTTTATTACAAAAATAGAGCCAAGTGTGATGGCCCACGCCTATAATCCCAGGGACTCCCATATAATCCCAACAATTCAGGAGGCTGAAGTAAGAGGATTGCAAGTTCAAGGCCACCCTCAGCAATTTAGGGAGAATGCAGCAATTTAGTGAGACCCTGTCTCAAAATAAAAAATAAAAAGGACTAGGGATATAGCTCAATGGTAAAGCACCCCCAAGTTCAATCCCCAGTACCAAAACAAAACAAAGACAGGCTATGAGCCAGATTTGGCCTGCAAAATAAGAGTTTGCTAACCCCTATAGCAGACTATTTGGTGCCTGAATATTCAAACCTAAGTTCACATCTTCACAATAGCAAACCTTATTGAGTGTTACCCCTAATAGGTGTCAAGAAAAATCTAATTAAGTCCATAGTCAGGATTAATAAATATGAGTTTTACCTAGAAAAGGAATCTTCTTTGTCCTTGCCCAAGAAATTGCTTGGAGTTTTCCCAATGTTCCTCTAATTCCAAAGCCTCCAGGCACAAGAATACCACTGAAATCAACATAAGAGGAGGGTAAAGATGACCACCCATTATTTTTATCTTTAAACCTTGTGTTTTCAGCCATTCGTGCTTACTAGTTCCAAATCCAAAAAAACTATACTCAAGGTCTATTTTCAGAATCGATTACATGATTTCATATCCTGGACTTTCTTCTTGAAATCCTCTCAATACTATGAAGAAGTTATGACAATTTCACACCAGTGACCTTGATATATATTTTTTCTGATAGCTCTTTGTGGCATCTGAACGTAATAACTGGGAAACTGAATCCAATAAAGAATGCCACTGAAGGCCAGAGTTAACACTCCTAGCTTAGCGTGCTGAAAGCCAGGATTTTAAGGCTAAGTACTGCCCTGCACCCCCCTCCAAAAAACAAGACAAAAAAATATCACTGGAAGAAGAATATGAATGAAAACGGGTAAGGTTCTTTTCAAAGCCCTGTTGTAAAAATGTTAAGCTCTCCTGCATAACCAGAAAGAGTTAAACTGGTAAAATCAGCATAAGTTTTCAATTGCTAATTAAATAGTTATAATGAAAATATCCTGGCTGGAGGCTGTCTAGTCACTCAGGTGAAAAGACTAGAAGCATTCAAGAGAAAAACCTGCAAGGTCATGCTACCTCATGATACAATGCTGCCCCCAAGAGTTCTGTCCATTACTTGCAAAATAAAACCTAGAAGCAAAACATGCAGAAAAGCAAAGAAAAATCAAGGGAAAGAGGTTGTCATTCTTGTCCTGTGGCTTTGTGTATGTACTATTCACCTCTGTATCTTTTGGTAGAATCAACACACCTTCCCTCTAATACAGTCTCCCCTTCCTCCCCAAATAAAACCATTTCTGTTGCACACTCCACCAACATTAAACTGGCGCATTTCAAAGCAGTGTTGGATGCAGCACAGCCACCTGTGAAGACAGCTATTTTAAATTACCTTTCAAAATGCACAAAAATTAGTAATTGGACTAAATGGAATAATTAAAGGAAAAGCCATTGTGCGAACAGCCCCGGTACTCACTCGGCTTTGCATAGCTTCTGCCAAGCTTCATGGAATTTCACAGGGTCCTCGACTTTGGTGATCTGCTCCAAATCGATGGAGTCTATGTACTAAAAAAACATCCAACAGATGAAAGGAAGCTTTAAGAAAAATAAGCACTCAAAAATACTAGAACTGTCTAACATTATGACACAATTATTCAATAATTCCAGATGCTGCTCAACTTGTGATGGGGTTACAGCCTGATAAACCCATTGCAAGTTGAAAATATCATAAATCAAAACTGCACCTGACCTATCAAACATCATAGCTCAGCCCCGCCTTCCTTAAACAAGCTTAGAATATTTACATTAGCCTATAGTCATCTATAGGCAAAATCATCTAACACAAAGCCATTTTATAATAAAGCATTTAATAGCTTTTTATCAAACACTGTTCTGAAGATGAAAAACAGGGTAGTCATATGGGTGTGCTTTCACCCCATCATAAAGCTGAAAAATTATAAGTGGAATCATCATAAGTCAGAGACTGTGTACTCATTATGCAACCACGGCACTGGGGCTGGAAAAAGATGCTCACTGTTTTGTGGCTCATAATCTTTGCAAAGATTACAAAGCTAAATAAACAGACATCTGTACTGTGGTGGGATCATGGCTAGGAGAGGCAAAGAAGACAATGCTTCAAATAGGAACCACACCTAACATAGAGGTGAACACTGTAAGAAAAAAGGGAAAGCCTGCACACTAGCGTGTCCCAATAACTCCACAGACTGAGGCAGGAGGATAAGAGTTCAAGGTCAGCCTCAGCAACTTAGAGAGGCCCTAAGCAACTTAGTGAGACCTTGTCTCATTAT